ATCGGACTTCAAGAAGTCGGTGCCCCGCGTTTACTGGTCGTCAAATTTGATTTGATTATTTTACCGATACTAATCCGCCTCAATGAATATGCCACGTGAAGGCTTTGATTTGAAACCTTTTCAATGCCACGCCTTGCCAAAGAAGTTGCCAAAGATTAATGGATTAAATACCCAATCTTCACACGTCACTAATTAAGATAATATTTTTTTCCTCTTTGTATTGAGGCAATATAAAAATCAATACTAACGGTAATGTGTGAAAGGAATATTGTTGGCGATAAGAACAACACGACTATAGGCACATAACCATGAATCCAAACCATGTAAGTCTAAAAATAGAACACATACAGATGAAATATTTTGATGTGTAATCCATATCCACGCTTCCCCTGAAGAAATCTTATTTTTGACAATGACAATAGCACAAATAATCATTTGAAGTAAGAAGGAGGATAACAATATTGACTACTGCATATAAGATTCTCTCTCTCTCCATCCCAGATGTATCATAATGCTTTCTGATGCCTTTGTTTCTTTTGTGCCTCTGTTTGTGTATAATTTGTTTATATGTCTTTTAATATTGTGATATTTCTACGATCTCTTATTCATCGTCGTGTAATAGCAGGCCTAGCCGGGGAGGGGGGGAGGGGGGGATTGGGGGTTTGAACAAACCGCTCTTTTTTGCCGGGAAAAGGTCCGCTGATTGATCTAGGTACACAAAGATTTCATGGTAAAAGGCCCACTTTTTATTCAGAAAAAGCTCCCCCTCAACCTGGCCTGAGCAACCTCCGTTTTCATTATTATAACTATTATTTTTTTTGTAATATTGACGTGCCGTGATGACTCGCCATGGTGAAGTCATCACATAAGACCACCTGAAGTCGAGCAAATATTTTTGAGCGATGCTGTCGTCACCAGAATCTAGAAAGAAAACAAGCAAATGTGTACTTCTCTTTTAAGTTAAATAACATCAATTTCCCGGGCCAACAACTGAAATAATACGAGCTTGGTTGTCAGTTTGAGTTACCTTGAGGTGCTGGTTTGGACAGTTTCAATATTTAATAGAGATGATTTCCACTATTATTTTATAATCCTTTAGGGCATGAGAGAGAGAGAGAGAGAGAGAGAGAGAGAGAGAGATGAGGAGGAGGCAGAAGAAGCTCGAAAAATCTGCAGTCAATGCAAACTGGCCGCTGCCTAACGTTGGTTCAATATTGATAAGTCATCCGCATGATTTGATCTTATGAATGAACTCTTCCGTTTCCCATAAAACACCAGGTGTGCGAAATCGCCCAGCATTTAACACTATTTGCTTTTAGCATCTGCGACCCTTTGATGCCTCACAAATTTGATTTTTTCTTGTACAAAAGAACACCGCTACGAGAGTTTGTGAAAAAAGACAACAGAGGCATGGAACTATGCTTGAGATAAAAAGAAATACATTGTAGTATTTGCGTTAGGACAGTCAGACTGGACTGATAAGTTGAGAAATGGTTTCTGCAAAGCACTTTGAAAAGATGGACACTGTTTGTGTGAACAATTTACCAGTTTTGTACAGTTAGAACATGGCGTATTGCCATATACTATTGAAATGTTTCTCTCTCCCTTTTCCTTCCAATTTCTTTTTCTTCGTCATTTTATTTTCAAACCGGAAAAATAGGGAGATATTATTAAGTTGCGTTCTTCCGAAATGCACAAGAAATGGGATGGATGACAGAAATATATGTATCGGACCGACAATTTATCAAAAACATGTAATCATTTTGTTAAGCGTTCATTTTTAAACTTTCATTATATGCAGTATGTTCTACCTAAAATATAAATGTATAATTTTTGTCTGTTAATGTTGTCTGAAACGAAACTTTGAAAGTCCTGGAAAAATACAGATATGCTTTTGTGGACCTTCAGTGACATGTCAGATCGTTAAAGCCTTTGTCGTCAACGTGTGTGTGTGTGTGTGTGTGCGCGCGCGTGTATGTTTTTCCGTGTATGTCTATGTGTGTCCGCTTGCGCGAATAATAATGCGCATTTAATGCTGGCATATATTTTACTGGTATGTATATATCCCTTCAATCACGCCTTTAAGCTGTTAATAGCTTAAAAGCTAAATATTGAGAATATAATATCCATGAAGTCAAATAATTTTATTTGAAGGTTAGCAACGCCAAATAAAGCATCAATGAGGCCCTAATCAAACTGCCAACATATCAATGGGTAAGACAAACTGGGTCAAACAAATCAATACCAGTTCAATACAAGTATTGAAAAATGATCGACTGGTATGGTCTGGATATTCCGCTCTCGTTACCGTAACTTACTAGCTTAAGGTATACATCTCCTACAGTAGAACAAGTTCATATAATGCCACTTCCCATGCAACGCTATCTCCAGTTAAACCAGTAGACACATCGACAGGCCCCGATTTAGCCAAAAAATGGCATTTTCTGGGACTATCAAGACTTTTTAAAGTATACCAAGTCTAAAACTGTTGATAAAAGTACTATCTACAGACCATTTGAGTTTCTAAATATTGAGCCACTTTCGTCACGGGGATGGAGACCGGTGAATTTTACAAGTACGGTAAAATGTAGAAATTTAGAAGTCCAAAACGAGTTTATAAATTGTTATTTTCTCAGCAGATTTGAACAGGGAATAGCTTAGCGATAAAAGGGTATTTCTTGATATTTCCCATTTATGCAAAAAAGTGCGTGTATGCTTACAATGAGTTCTCTGTCTATATTTCTGGACCATGCTCTCTTGTCCAGTTTACGTATATTACGCTAGGATAGAACAATGTGATATCGTATTAATCTACCGTGCCATTATTATGTGTACTTACTAATGATATCGACCAAGACGCGGACAGACAGACGTGAACCCTGTGAACGTCAATAAAACGATAAAAAATGAATAAATGGATTGAGTTATTTAATTGACAGAGCCTGCCAGCACTGATTATGCGCGTTTTATTGGAATGTAATAATTTGCGTGGTTGCACACAGGAACAAGTTCTGAGTGCTCCCATTTTTAGCGAAACTTCAGTTAGAGATGGAGGATGAACCCAAAATTTAACGCCAGTGTCAGAGTAAACGTTGGGTAAAGAGTTCAAATCAACATAAAATGATCATGCTTTTTTTTCCCTTCGAATAACACATTCACAACGTCCCGACTAACCGAACACAAATCAAAACCGGAAAAATAAACTTCGGCTTAACGAAATGTTATTTCATACCCTTGGAGTCGGGTGACATTTTGGTGGAAGAGGTTTGTGATGTTATTATGATATTGAATGTTATCATTGTGAACTTAAGCTCATTTGTATTGTATTTTTGACTCCGGTGAGGAGGTAATATTTCATAGCATGTATTGATAGTGGGTGTTGTGTGTTTGCTGTCCAGGTTCTGCCGACTGCCGCCTTAATTACCTCCCCTGCGTTGGTTATATAAAATAAAAAGGTGACGGTCAGTGCACGGCGATTAAATTTAATCGTCACCAACACTAGAATTTACTGAACCAATTGAAAAGCTGGTTACTCTATCTGTAACTCTCAGTTGAACTTTTAGATAACTTCATCTATACTTTTTTTACATTTCTCTTATTGTTTTTGTTATTTTACGTGTCTGTGATAATATATTTGTAGAATCAAACTGATTTACTTGAATGATAGAACTATTAATATTATTACCTCCGCCAAGGAGGTTATGTTTCCCCCCCCCCCCCCGTTTGTCTGTCTGTCTGTCTGTCTGTCAGCAATATAACTCAAAAAGTTATGGACCGATTTTGATGAAATTTTTAGGAACTGTCAGAAGTGTGCCGAGGAACAGATGATTAGTTTTGGGTAATGATCCAGATCAATAATCAATCAATAATCAATAATAATCAAAAATTGTTGCCTTGGCGGAGGTCTGCGCTCTCGGAGTGCTTTTCTAGTTATTATTATTTTTTCATGTGTTTTTGACGGGGTAAAGACGTCTAAGGTAAAGACGTCTACACTTGTGTTCCAGTAAGCTAACACCGGACCATTTGTTTTTGTAACGAAAGGCGCTGTTATATACTGTTATACTAAGTGAAATTTTGAATAGATAGTGTTCCAAGTAATGACACTATAAATTACTGATGATTTTACTAATTTAATAAGAGCAACTTATTTGGGATAATCACTGGAGTTTTGTGCCTTACCAACATTATATATTTAATTATTTTATTATTTTTGTGTGTTTAGGGAAGAGCTATGACGGTGGCATTGTTACCAAACTTACTAGCGCTTTCTTATTGAGTTACATTCACTAGTTGTTACATTGGGAGCACTTTAGACTGGGATAACCGGTACAAAACCCTAAAATGTGTTTGTGAATATGAACCGTGCGGGTACTTATGACATAATCCTTTATTTATGTACAGTGTATCCTCAGCGCATACGATATCCATAAAGGTGCCTTACCGAATTAAGAGACTTTCACGCACCTTGCCAAATCACAAGGCGTAGTCAGTGATGCCATAACGCTCTCTGTACACACGGCCCGTACAAAAGACCGTATTGTGGAGGGGTTACTGGGTAAACGTGGTAAAACTGCGCCCTGAGGTTCAACACAATATAAAGAGACTGAAAATAACAACAGCGTTTCTGTTTATACCCAACACAAAGCCGCTCTTTGGTGTCCTGTGTTGACATTCCTAAACTGTGTGTGCTGATTTTCAAGTGAGAGATTTGAAGTTAAGTTGATTTATGCGTTGGTAAAGCTATCACTGTGCAACTTAAGCGTCCTTAGTCCCAGTGTTTGACTTATTAAGGACAGTTGTCTTTATAGCGTAAGGTAAGGGAGCATTCCAGTTGATTCCATTTCGTTTTCACGACTTGAATCTTAATATTTCGCTGGTTTGAACTTGGCAGTGATATTACATAGGTAATATATGTGGTACGCGTAGGTACTCCAACCACTACAAGATAATCTGACCTAAGACAGCTTTCGCCAAGTTCGGTTGAGATCCAGGTATGGCTAAGTGTCCAGTGGAAACGGTGGGAATCGGCCCTTCATCAGGTTCATACAGATTCGGTATGCGTGGCGTAAGTGGGCTGAAATTTGGGGTAGAGAGAGAGAGAGAGAAAAAAGGAGAGTTATTTCCTTAAGCCACTATGCATTGAACTCTTAATTATGACTGACATGGCCGAAAATACTGAGGGTTGTGGCGGTAAGTAACCAACCCCTGCTACTGCCAATGCTGAATGAATACTGCTGGTAGTATCTAAGTGTCCATAAGCTACTTTGTATTTTCTGAACATGTTATGTCACAAAGGTCAATAAACGGATATTCCTTTCCTTTTCAGGGTTTGAAGCAAACTGCAAAGCAAGGGGAGATCAGAAGACGTATCAATCACCATCAAAGCAAAACGTACGTGTGTTAATGTAGGGAGGGCTGACCTCTTGCAACATGAACATTGTCGGATGTGGCTTTCTGCCAGGGACACGGGAATGTTATCGCGCACTATCGCAGTGAATAACTACACCTCGATGGTATTATGAAAGATTTTTAAGATAAGTCATCAGATATGGAGACTTGTTTTGCTGGAACGTGAGCAGAGCATTTATTTTCCAATTAAAAAGAAAACGTGTTTTCCTTTCGCAAACAAATGCCTTCTGCCGCTGCCACCACGCAGGGACATCCCACCGCAGCCACCAAAGTTTGTAATGTTCGGCCATGAGTGACGTCGCTTCCCCGGACCCAGGTAAAGCGCTACTCCGCGCCGTCATACACGGCAAGCTGCGGGCGCTCACCTCCCTGTTAGAGTCTGACATCGATGTTAATATTAAAGACGGCGACGGATGTACGCCTTTAATACGTGCAATCTTCCTGGAGAAAGGTGACGTCAGGTCTCACATCGCGCGCATGCTCATTAATTCAGGCGCTGACGTAAATGTGCGAGACCGCAGCGGGAAGACGGCGCTGATGTATTCCGCCATGGAGGAAGGGCGGGAAAACATCACCCGCCTCCTCATTCGAACTGGGGCGTGTGATACTAACATCCAGGATAATGGCGGGAAATCTGCCCTCCATTTTGCTGCTGAGAATGGCTTGTGTCCTGTAATACGTGTGTTGGTGAACTCGGCTCATTCCAAGCGCGCTATCAACGTCAATATTACAGATTTTGAGGGTAGGACCCCTCTTGCTGTTGCCTACAGTCTGGGACATGAAGAGTGTTGCCGTGTACTTGTCACTGACGGGAAAGCGGATACCTCTACAGTACAGGACACAGACGGCTTAACGCGGCTCCTTCAACCAAAACCGGCCCCAAAGAAAGTCGGACAAAAAAGAGATTCTCGAGCGTCGACGTCGAGTCTTCGACTAGACAAAATAAGTTTACATAGTAAAGGGTCCAGATCTAGTATTAACAGCGATGAATTAATAGACCACTTGACTCAACTTAACGACGACGTATTTAACCGCGCAGACAATCAAGAAACTCACACGAACCCAAAGCGTGGAAAAATTGGCGGGAGAAAAAACAAGAAAAGACCAAACCGTGGTGAACCACGGCAGGACGAACAATACGAAATGGACACATTTAAGTATAACGACAAAGCAAATCTTATACATAATGACGAATTGGAATATAGTAATCAAGGCTTTGTCGAGTCTCCGAGATATTTAATGCCACCGGAAGACAAGAGTCCCCGGAGACGCTCACTTCCGCCTCTGGACATCCAACCCACGGGGTCTCCCCCAAAACAATCTCAATTATCTCCGCTCCGGGTCTTTCCAAATTACAACCACAATGCTCAACCGACTTCACTGCAAAAACATTCTCCGTCATCCCTCAATCCTTTGATGACGTCACCCTCTTCAACGATGTCGTCACTCAATCCTCTCATGACGTCACAGGAGCCGTATTTACAACGGCCAGTTCCACCGAGTTATCGAACTGAACAATCCACACAAGTTAATAGGTCGCACACGACCAAAAGACCTCAAATTTCAGTGCAGTTAGCCAACGGTTCTCACTCTTCCTACACAGAGGATCCGACATTACCGCTGAGAGGGGAGAAGCGAATGAGCAAAACCCACTTATCCCCGCTCTCGACTCCCAGGACAAGTCTCACAGTAACTGGTGGAGGCCCAAGTTCTCATGGGGGCTTTCTTCCATCGTTGCCAGTCGGAGGAAAGTCTAGTCTCATCGGAACAAAGCACGTCTACTCTGAGGATGACATCAATAGAGCAAAGACGGTGTAACGGCGAGCCAGTGTAGCATTTCAGTTGAACCCCATATATCCACAGCATGAAAACCACACCCATGCTCTTGTTGCATCAGCTGCCCGTTGAGGATTATACAAAAATTCGGATTACTCCACTGCGCAAACACAGCGAAAACGGGGGACAAACATGAAAAACTTTAACGCTGTAGCCATACATCCTTTTGAAGGTTGTACATGGATTTTTCTTTTAACTAATTTAAATCTTTTTCGCTTCTTTCCCCAGTAGCGGTGGAGCGAACATAANAGAGGTAAAGTTTCGAGACTAGAAATATTTTTCTATCGGATCATAGCTAAAGACAAGTATTCGACACCGCAGTTGTACAATTTTAAACACTCATTTTACGGCAACAAACACGATTGCCTTCACCATATTGGGCATTTTGAATTCCTCCATGAACAAACATACCTTATTCTCATCTAGCATCCAAAATAGCAAAAGAAATTGTACTTACATTTTATCTCTATAAGTGTCTTGACTCATCCACCCGAACGTTTTCCTCGCGTTATCACCAGCTACCTGTCCAAATGACACAAAAAGTCATCAACAGCCGCGATATGCTCGCTACCTGTACGGGAGGTCACGTGATCCGAACGCACATCGTTTCGCGAAGAGCTCGCGCTAAGCCGATTATACTTTGATCTTTCTCCGCGTTACTTGTCCTTCTCTATTTAGGTCCAAGTCTTGTTTTAGCTATTTTTAAGTGTCTGTGATTATATCATTAAAGAATCAAACTGATTTACTTGAATGATATTATTATTATTATTATTATTATTATCATTATTATTATTGCATGTGTTTTTGACGGTCGGGATAATACTAACACCTTGGATAGAACCTTAACATATGACCATTTGTTTTTGTAACGTAAGGCGATGTTATATACTGTTATACTAAGTGAAATTTTGAATAGATAGTGTTCCCCCAAATGAAACTTTATAATTTACTGGTGATTTTACTAATTTAATAAGAGAAACTTATTTGGGATAATCACTGCAGTTTTGTGCCTTACCAACATTATTTATTTATTTATTTAATTATTTTATTATTTTTATGTGTTTAGGGAAGAGCTATGACGGTGGCATTGTTTCCAAACTTACTAGCGCTTTCTTACTGAGTTACATTCACTAGCTGTTACATAGTGAGCACTTTAGACTGGGATAACCGGTACAAAACCCTAAAATGTGTTTGTGAATATGAACCGTGCGGGTACTTATGACATAATCCTTTATTTATGTACAGTGTATCCTCAGCGCACACGATATCCATAAAGGTGCCTTACCGAATTAAGAGACTTTCACGCACCTTGCCTAATCACAAGGCGTAGTCAGTGATGCCATAACGCTCTCTGTACACAAGGCCCATACAAAAGACCGTATTGTGGAGGGGTTACTGGGTAAACGTGGTAAAACTGCGCCCTGAGGTTCAACACAATATAAAGAGACTGAAAACAACAACGGCGTTTCTGTTTATACCCAACACAAAGCCGCTCTTTGGTGTCCTTTGTTGACATTCCTAAACTGTGTGTGCTGATTTTCAAGTGAGAGATTCGAAGTTAAGTTGATTTATGCGTTGGTAAAGCTATCACTGTGCAACTTAAAGCGTCCTTAGTCCCAGTGTTTGACTTATTAAGGACAGTTGTCTTTATAGTGTAAGGTAAGGGAGCATTCCAGTTGATTCCATTTCGTTTTCACGACTTTAATCTTAATATTTCGCTGGTTTGAACGTGGCAGTGATATTACATAGTGGTACAGGGGTACGTGTAGGTACTCCAACCACTACAAGATAATCTGACCTGAGACGGCTTTAGCCAAGTTCGGTTGAGACCCAGGTATGGCTAAGTGTTCAGTGGAAACGGTGGAAATCGGCCCTCCATCACGTTCATACAGATTCGGTATGCGTGGCGTAAGTGGGCTGAAATAAGGTGTAAAGAGAGAAAAAAAAAAAAGGAGAGGTATTTTCTAAAGCCACTATACTTTGAACGCTTAATTATCACTGACATGGCCGAAAATAATGGGGGTTGTGGTGGTAGGTAACCAACCCCTGCTACTACCTATGATAAATGAATACTGCTGGTAGTTATTAAGTGTCCATAAGCTACTTTGTATTTTCTGAACATGTTATGTCACAAAGGTCAATAAACAGATATTTCTTTCCTTTTCAGGTTTTGAGGCAAACTGCACAGCAAGGGGAGATCAAAAGACGTACCGGTACGGGTTCACAATCAAAGCAGAACGTACTTGTGTTAATCTAGGGAGGGCTGACCTCTTACAACATGAACATTGTCGGATGTGGCTTTCTGCCAGAGACACGGGAATGTTATCGTGCACTATCGCAGTGAATAACTACACCTCGATGGTATTATGAAACATTTTTAATATAAGTCATCAGATATGGAGACTTGTTTTGCTGGAACGTGAGCAGAGCATTTATTTTCCAAACAAATGCCTTCTGTCGCTGCCACCACGCAGGGACATCCCACCGCAGCCACCAAAGTTTGTAATGTTCGGCCATGAGTGACGTCGCTTCCCCGGACCCAGGTAAAGCGCTACTCCGCGCCGTCATACACGGCAAGCTGCGAGCGCTCACCTCCCTGTTAGAGTCTGACATCGATGTTAACTTTAAAGACGTCGACGGATGTACGCCTTTAATACGTGCAATCTTCCTGGAGAAAGGCGACGTCAGGTCTCACATCGCGCGCATGCTCATTAATTCAGGCGCTGACGTAAATGTGCGAGACCGCAGCGGGAAGACGGCGCTGATGTATTCCGCCATGGAGGAAGGGCGGGAAAACATCACCCGCCTCCTCATTCGAACTGGGGCGTGTGATACTAACATACAGGATAATAACGGGAAATCTGCCCTCCATTTTGCTGCTGAGAATGGCTTGTGTCCTGTAATACGTGTGTTGGTGAACTCGGCTCATTCCAAGCGCGCTATCAACGTCAATATTACAGATTTTGAGGGTAGGACCCCTCTTGCTGTTGCCTACAGTCTGGGACATGAAGAGTGTTGCCGTGTACTTGTCACTGACGGGAAAGCGGATACCTCTACAGTACAGGACACAGACGGCTTAACGCGGCTCCTTCAACCAAAACCGGCCCCAAAGAAAGTCGGACAAAAAAGAGATTCTCGAGCGTCGACGTCGAGTCTTCGACTAGACAAAATAAGTTTACATAGTAAAGGGTCCAGATCTAGTATTAACAGCGATGAATTAATAGACCACTTGACTCAACTTAACGACGACGTATTTAACCGCGCAGACAATCAAGAAACTCACACGAACCCAAAGCGTGGAAAAATTGGCGGGAGAAAACACAAGAAAAGACCAAACCGTGGTGAACCACGGCAGGACGAACAATACGAAATGGACACATTTAAGTATAACGACAAAGCAAATCTTATACATAATGACGAATTGGAATATAGTAATCAAGGCTTTGTCGAGTCTCCGAGATATTTAATGCCACCGGAAGACAAGAGTCCCCGGAGACGCTCACTTCCGCCTCTGGACATCCGACCCACGGGGTCTCCCCCAAAACAATCTCAATTATCTCCGCTCCGGGTCTTTCCAAATTACAACCACAATGCTCAACCGACTTCACTGCAAAAACATTCTCCGTCATCCCTCAATCCTTTGATGACGTCACCCTCTTCAACGGTGACGTCACTCAATCCTCTCATGACGTCACAGGCGCCGTATTTACAACGGCCAGTTCCACCGAGTTATCGAACTGAACAATCCACACAAGTTAATAGGTCGCACACGACCAAAAGACCTCAAATTTCAGTACAGTTAGCCAACGGTTCTCACTCTTCCTACACAGAGGATCCGACATTGCCGCTGAGAGGGGAGAAGCGAATGAGCAAAACCCACTTATCCCCGCTCTCGACTCCCAGGACAAGTCTCACAGTAACTGGTGGAAGCCCAAGTTCTCATGGGGGCTTTCTTCCATCGTTGCCAGTAGGAGGAAAGTCTAGTCTCATCGGAACAAAGCACGTCTACTCTGAGGATGACATTAATAGAGCAAAGACGGTGTAACGGCGAGCTAGTGTAGCATTTCAGTTGAACCCCATATATCCACAGCATGAAAACCACACCCATGCTCTTGTTGCATCAGCTGCCCGTTGAGAATTATACAAAAATTCAGATTACTCCACTGCGCAAACACAGCGAAAACGGGGGACAAACATGAAAAACTTTAACGCTGTAGCCATACATCCTTTTGAAGGTTGTACATGGATTTTTCTTTTAACTAATTTAAATCTTTTTCGCTTCTTTCCCCAGTAGCGGTGGAGCGAACATAACACATATATATATATATATGAATTAACTGGGGTTCTATACACGACGGGCGTCATTATTTATTTATTCATTTTCTATTATGTAAATAAAATGCCTCCAGGGGCAGTTTCAAAAGAAACCATTGAGAATATTCCAATATTTAAAAACATATAAATATTCCACTGTACACGTAATTCACACAGCGGTATCTTCCCCGTCGCGCAGCAACTTCTTCAATAAACTTTTAGCCAAAATATTTTCCCCAATTAAATCAAACAATGTCAATCCCAAAACCCCATCTCCTCTTTCTCCTGCACAGAGGCAAAAGAATGTTAATGAAAATAAAGCAACTGCCATTTCTTCAACGTTCCTAGGCACCGCGACCATTAAGGGTGCTTTCCCAGAGATTTAGATCGATCTAAAGATTAAGATTTAGATCGACCTAACTCCCTGGGGGTTCACGCTTAATTGCAGTCAGCCGAGCGGGCACCATAGTTAATTACCCCCTTACAGCTTTTAGTAGGCGGGACAGACGCTTAAGCCGGCCAAGCTGACAGTAATCCAGTGAGACTCCCCACAGNGATTACTCCACTGCGCAAACACAGCGAAAACGGGGGACAAACATGAAAAACTTTAACGCTGTAGCCATACATCCTTTTGAAGGTTGTACATGGATTTTTCTTTTAACTAATTTAAATCTTTTTCGCTTCTTTCCCCAGTAGCGGTGGAGCGAACATAACACATATATATATATATATGAATTAACTGGGGTTCTATACACGACGGGCGTCATTATTTATTTATTCATTTTCTATTATGTAAATAAAATGCCTCCAGGGGCAGTTTCAAAAGAAACCATTGAGAATATTCCAATATTTAAAAACATATAAATATTCCACTGTACACGTAATTCACACAGCGGTATCTTCCCCGTCGCGCAGCAACTTCTTCAATAAACTTTTAGCCAAAATATTTTCCCCAATTAAATCAAACAATGTCAATCCCAAAACCCCATCTCCTCTTTCTCCTGCACAGAGGCAAAAGAATGTTAATGAAAATAAAGCAACTGCCATTTCTTCAACGTTCCTAGGCACCGCGACCATTAAGGGTGCTTTCCCAGAGATTTAGATCGATCTAAAGATTAAGATTTAGATCGACCTAACTCCCTGGGGGTTCACGCTTAATTGCAGTCAGCCGAGCGGGCACCATAGTTAATTACCCCCTTACAGCTTTTAGTAGGCGGGACAGACGCTTAAGCCGGCCAAGCTGACAGTAATCTAGTGAGACTCCCCACAGGGATAGATCGATCTAAAAATCTATGGAAATGGGGTGTAAGTGTCAAGACATAATGTTGTCAATGTATAACAAATGTAACAGTTGTATTTTCATCTTTTAAGAAAATTTTATCATTCTTATTTTGGTGAAAGATCACCTGTTAATTCCATACATCTTTTTCTTTTATCTATTTATTTTACCGCTAGTAGGAGACAGTGACAGATAAAGCAAACTGAAGAATTTAGTTAATTGTCCTCAGCCTTTCCGACTTGTTCCAAAATGCTGATCATCTTCCTCAGTTCGTCCTCATAGCTGCTACGTTTACCCGCCGCACCGTCAAAGGAATATGGGCGCCGCAACAACTTGCCACAACGTCTTTAAGTTGTACTTTGTTTTCTTTTTTCTTTTTGGTAAGATGTGCTTTCATTTTCTGAAGCTACCAGAAACTGTGGGCAGCAACATCTTTAAGTTTGCTTTTTATCTCACATATTTTAGAAAGTTGTGCTTTTACTTCTTAGTCTTTGGTGAGAAAAAGCTTGATATGCTCTTCATCCCGGTCTTGTCTACTTTGCTTAATTGCTTCTGTTTGGCTGTCAATTTGACCTCCTACAAAAAACAATTAACAGAAAATTACATTCTGTATAAATGAGATAAATAACCGTTTAGTGCTATTCTAGAAGTCTTTCTAAACACATTTTGGCTGGATTAATCTTGGTGAGAAACAACCAAACCATGCACCCTACACTCTTAAATTGCATGCCTGTGCATGTGCGCGCGCACACACACACACACACATTTAACCTGCCCACTTAAACCAAATTACGCTTTCTTGAAAGCAAAAAGATAATTATAATAGTAATAATATATAACATATAAATGAAGTTATCATAAAATGAAAATAAAGAAATGAAAGACACAAAACTTACAAAAGAACCAACCTTTTGTTTAGATTCCCCATCTACTGCTTTGCTGTAGTCTTCACTAGGGGTAACATCTCCATTCAGCCTCACTTTCTAAGTGTTGAAAAATGAATTAATAAATGATAACATAACAATTCTTTCTCAATGCTTTACGTTTTCTTCATCTTATATAAACTTTTTCATTTATTCTTCCAAATTGCATTTAGCCAAAAGAGCTACACAGCAATTATATGAAAGTAAATTTTTCTTCTCTTAATGCAATGCTCATTTCAATCAACTAAATTGGAGAAGTCCGAGTTGGCCACAAGAGCAATTCATGTGCATGTGTGAGCCTGGTAGTGTGGATGTATGTGTGTGTGTATGCATGTCTGTATACGTTTGTGTGTGTGAGTGTGCAAGTATGTGTGCATGTACCACTGTATGTATGTGTGAGTTTGTTTGAAATGCCTGACCTTTGCTGGGGGTTCACTGCTTGGACTGGACTTGACAGGGCTGGGTTCTGGTATACTGAAACATACACAGAAATGTACGCAGAAATGTACACAGAAACGTACACAGAAATGTATACTGAAATGTACACAGAAATGTACATTGATATGTACATGGAAATGTACAAACTCATTTAATAAGTACAACAGACTTAAAATAACTGATCACCTTGAAACTCTAATTATTCTTTATTGGGCCCTAGGCAGAAAGGGTGCAGTGAATACACTTAAAGCAACTCATTACACATGTACCGGGGTACTATACATATACCTTTAAACTTAAATTGTTTACAGGCCAGTAGGCTGAGTGGGTTCGAGGGTTGATGGGTGGGTTTAAAAAACTGCTTTTTTGGAGAGAAACTGCGATTCAAAATCAAAATTTGATCTAGGTTTAATGCCACTTTTGAAATTCGGTCAAATTGGGTGTAAAAAGAGGCCCACTTTTTCAGATAAAAAATCTGCCTTTAAAACTGCTGGCAAAAGGTTAGGTCAATAATAAGACAGCTTTACTTTGAAACTTCTTGTAAAAATAAAATACCTGATTATATCTGTGAGCTTTTATCACACCAAAGTTCATCAAATATTACATTACAATGACAAATGTAAGCCTAACAACTTACAAATATTTTCATGGACTTATGCAAAACCTCTAATGAAAATAAGTAGATTATTATAAGAACATTTTGTACTAGACACCAATTTTCTGTGTACAAATACATAGTATAAGCATACCAGTACAAACAGTTAAAAAGTTTTTAGACATTAAAACATGAACTTACTTCAGATGAGTTTTCAGATCTTTACCCAGCTCTAGAGGCAGATAATCTGAGACAATGCCACAAGCAAACCTGAGGTAATCATCTGGAATTTCAATATAAAAATTAAAGACAATTTTAGGGACACATATAAATGACACCTAACCGGAAAAAAAAAAAATTTACGAACTTGGAGCAAAAATAGTCATTTATATCTTCTTATCTCTTGTAACTTCTACAATTCGGATAAGAAAAAAAAGAACCATGCTGTACAATAAATAAAGTAGTCACTTTGTTTAAAAACAAAATATAATTTTCAAAACAAAAGGCAACAATTCTGTTTCGATTAAAGTAAAACTCAATTAACAATCGAAATTAAACATCTTGGTTAAAATTTGAATATCCGTACTTGATTGATTGAAAAAACAGCTGTATAAATCAACAGACTGGTAAATACTTGGATACCTCTCTTTGTGTTGTCATCTTTCTTGCTTTTTACATAAGTCGCAACTACAGCACCACCAGCAACATGGACCTTACGCTTTTCAAGTTCATCTGCTAACTGCTCCACCTGGTGAGAAAAAATATTATTAAGAGGAGTTCATGTCAGATTTGCATGATCAAATCTATGAGGAAAACATTTAAACTGTTACTGCAACAGTAGGTTTTTAATATATAATAATACAGTATTGGTAAAGAGTATTTTTCAGTCCATCTTAAATCTATGTCTCATCTTTGAACATCAAATGTCCCATCAATCCTTACCTTAGCCTGTAACCATGACAATGTTTTGTCTTGTGAATATTTATAGGCCTTAAAATCATCATCACCTAAAAAAAGGATTTGTCATATAAACCAAACCAAAAACCCAATGCACTGCTGTGGTGATGTATGCAATCCCTAATGTTAATAAACAACAGCAATATCAAATTAAATACAATGAATGATAGCAAACATCAATTATAAAAAATATTATTTTTAGTGACTAAATTTAATGCTAATTAGAGAAGAGAATAAAGAATTGTTATCAAAATATCAACCTTTAATTCCCTTCTTTGGTAATTTTGTGTTTTGTCTAAAATAAGAACATCTGGCTAGCTTATTTCATATATATATTATAAGCAAGACTGAATTCCAGGCAGATTTTAAATCCACCTAGGCGAGATTCAAATTGCAGTCTCTCCTAAACAAGGTTTTCATCTAGCCAAGGCGAATTGTAAACCCTCCGAGATGAGATTTAAAATCTGCCTAGATTATTTTCAATTTTGACACTTGACACACATATACGTATATAAAAAAACTACAACTGTACCTCGCATGTCACACATATGATACAGCTGGTTAAGACCANTAAAAAGGAACATATAGGATAATTACTGTATGTGTTTCTAAGAAAATCTTATAAACAAATACACTTGTCTTCAGGATCACACAGGTTATTGGAAACACTGTGTAACACATCAAAGACACCACATTGTACTGTTTTGGTCTAAAAGCATCCAAATTAAAAGAAATACACTGTGTAATACAAATTATTCTTAAAAATATTGAAAAAATTATCCATAACATAACTATAAAATTTCAAGCCATTATTATTTCAAAGTGTTCAAGTGCTACAGAGTCTTGCTGTTTAATTACCATTAAATTTAATTTCAGGAAATTAAATTAAAATAAAAGTAGCTGTCAAATTTCTTGAAATTAAAAAAAAAATAAAAAAAAGAAAAGAAAAAAACATTACTATATGCGTAAAACAATCATTCAGAAATAATTCAAATGAATACTTTGTTCTACCTTTTTGAATAGTTTGTTCTATAATCCATGATCCAAATTCTCTCTTATGCTGTAGCACTTCAAACACCTGTCTGTTGTCAGAGCTGAAGAGAAATATGGCTCCCTCCTCTGAAACACGGATGTTACGTCATATATTTCCTGTAATTAGCTCTAATACTGTACTTGTAAATTGGTAAAATTTTTAGTTCGCGGATTTAATGAAACTGTTCACCAGCTGGCACATGACAATGACAGAGACAAAAAAAATGCACCACAAATATAGAAATATGACAAATAAATTAATGGTGTTATCAAATTTTAAACTTATGTACATTGTCAAATTATTTTTTGCCTCTATAATTATTACTACATTAAATCCATTTCCATAGTTAGTTATTTTTTATTATTTAAAAAAATAAATTTTACCTGTTTTTGGGTGTCTTAGTTTGCAGAAGGAAACATTAGGAGATTTTGGTGTTTCACAACTGAATATTGCTTCTGTAATAATAATAATAATAATTATTATTATTATTATATAATAGTTGTGGGATAGTACTAGTATACGTTTATGTAAATGTACAATATGTACAGGGAAGTATATGTAAATATATTTTTGCTAACATTTTAAACTTAGGTTAGGACAGTGACAAACTGTATACAGCTTCACCAGACCATCACAACATTACAATGTAACAGCGGACAGAGGATGCATAGGGCTGGGGTGCCAGTGGGGTTGAGGGGTGCCAGTGGAGATGGGGGGTGACTGTATGTGGTCAATAAACAAAGGTAAAACTGTTTTAAAAGTTTTCAAAAGCATGAATGCAATGTATGTTCTAGTTTGCTGCACTACGGATTCGGTCGTTATTGGTGGTGGTGGTGGTTAAGTGCGTGTGTGTAAAGGGGGGGGGGTATCCCGGCCGTAGTAGTAGTACTAGTAGTTTCTGTATTCATCTTTGATTTACCTGGAGCAATCAAAACCCACTGACTCTGTTCACCATCTGTTGCATTCCCTCGATCCCTTTCTTGCTTAGGCATCGCGGTGAGGAGCTATGATCACAGTATTCTTGACGAGGTCGAGCTATCACCTCCTCCACACTGTTTACAAGGGCCTGGCAATCACCTTCACCTTGCTCGACGGCGGGAAATTTTGGACCATTCTGTACGGAATTATTTCGTTGGCATGATCTTATTTACGTTAACCGTTTCTGATTTTGAATAGTCTTGACACAGCTTTTCAAAATCAAATTCTTTTAAAGTGCTTAATATCTATTACAAATAATTTTGAGTTTATTTGCATCCGGGACATTTAAAGATGGCTGCGTCCAGTTGGTGGCACGTTATTTCTCACTGTGTGTAAATCCTGTCAACAGTTTCGGCTGGATAGTCATGATCTAGGATCTACGCTTAAGGTATGGATACTTAAGCTCAGATTTATAACACTGATTTAATTGTTGTAGTATATAAGGCCTATTTTGAGAAAGGATAGAGTGCGTTTCGGTCACTTGAAACTGCATGGTGTATAAGGAATCACTCAGAGTTTCTCTCACTGCCTCAGGACACTGGACACTCACCGCTCGATCTACTCATTGTCCTCTCTCAGCATGTCTCTGTTGAAAATCTACCCATTATAGAAGAGAAGAAAGTTCTTACAGTGTCCTCTGAGACTCGTTCTAATGGGATTTATAGAACAAAATATACATAATACAGCTATACAATTGAATATATAGATCTTGTGGGCGTGACTTAAAATATAAATTTAAGATCAAATAATGAAGAAATATTTTTTCCAAAAGGAAAAAATCATTATTTGGGAGCTTTCCTTGTCATTTGTTTCCTGTTTTAGTAACATGATTTTGTATGGTTTTAAAATGTTTTAACAACGTTTCCAAATAACATTTAAAAAAATTAAAAACATTATCATTCATAATGTTTCGATTTAGATTTTTTACATTATGATTATGTTTAGAGAAATCATTTAAATCATTAAAATGTTATCTTTTAAAATGTTTAGAATAACAATATAAAATAGAACACAACATATATTTACAAAAATGTTTATTAAATGTTATTAATGCTTAAATCTTGAGGATATAGAGAGGTAACGTTTTATGTCAGGTTATTAATAGGCATTCATGAATTTGGGTAGTTTATAAAATGTCTGACATATCTAGGCTAGACATAGATATCACACTTTCACTGCTGTTTAAAGGTATACTGTGATGAAAAAACGGGTTAAAACTATCCATTAGGTGCCCAAAAGTCATTTTTGAGTAATGAAAAAAAGTTCTTACGTTTATTTAGTTTTTAAAGCCGATTTTATGCAGATGTGAATTTAGTGGTGGCGCTTTGAGGCGAGAGACGTCACTCGCATCGAGGCTCAGAAAGCCATATTCGATTCAGCTATCTGCTTGCTAGCAGTGCACACTAAAAGCGATACACGCAATTGATTACTACATGATCATTTATAAACTCAAACTTTTGAAGATAGATACACAAAAGAAGATGAATTCCCTACGTGGTTATCATTTATTAACCAACAAAATACACCAAAATGTTAACAGTAAAGGTTGGAAGCAGGGCAGCGAACATAGATTTTCACACATGCCCATCTGTCGCGTCGGCTGAACGTTCTTATCCCGACTGATAAGAGAAGTTACCTTATAATGCAGGTGTGACAGCTAACATTATTTTTCACACCCGTGCAGTTTACCAGTGTCATTCCGGGAGAGCCAGGTCAGTGGACAAAAGGCCAAAGATATCGGACTGATAGCATCGGACACTACATTTCACACCTCTGCAACTTACCTCGCTACTTCCGCCTTACACGTGATCAGTGCAGCAGTATGTCGAGTAAAAATTTGAGTCCACTATCATGTTAATATTAAAGTTTTCACTAACATAACCAAAAAATTCGACAACGTAATTCTGCTACGAACTTTTTTTGGGCTCTAGAAGCTGCTCTCTTCTTCCTTTCGACGGCCGCATCATGCACACATCCTACAGGTAAGACTCTCGTCGGCAGCGCTCTGGCATTTACTGTCGCATTTTGGTACTCCGAAAAATCGAATATACTGGGTACAGCATCATCTTTTAGTTTTCTCCGTGCTTTTCCACCGCACAATTCAGCTCGCAGGTCACGTACGAAGCATTCCGGCTCGAAGTGGTCGCTACAGATCCTCGCGTGTTTTGACACTGTGCTTGGATTTTTTAACTTCAGAGAATTGAGCCAAATTTTACGTTTTGCGGCATCCGCAGGCAGGATATAATAGCAGATGTCTTTCTTATCGTAACCTACATTACGGCACCCGGGAGCAACACAACTTTGCGGCATTTTGTTTTTCTGACACCTGGATGTTTAGTCACCTACTGCATAGTATATACTATTACTAGTACAGCTGTGGGAAGCTACTACCCAGGTTACGTCACTAGAAACGGACCAATCAGAATTTTCTCATCTAAATCACATCTTTTCTCTCTTAAACTTAAAAAGAACAATTTTTTGACGTCGATTTATAGTTTTTATACTGTAAAAAAAGCAGCGAACGCTATGTGTTCCTAGAGCACAGTAGGCCTTTAAGACCCCATTCCCAGAGATTAGATTGATCCAAACTAGATCGACCTAACTCCCAGGGGGTTCACGCTAAATAGCTGTCAGCCAAGCGGGCACAAAAGTTAATTACCCCCTTACAGCTTCTAGTAGGTGGGACGGACATTCAAGCCGGATTATATGACAGTAATCTAGTGAGACTCCCCACAGGGATAGATCAATCTAAAATCTTTGGGAATGCACCCTAAAAATGTCTAGACAATTAAACACTTAAGTAAAAAAAAAATCTTAAGTAAGAAAGAGAAGCCCTTTTTGCCATTAAAATTCTGCTATGAATCTTATCTTAATGAAGGTTTTATGCCATTTCTCAAGTTGCTGCTGGGTCAACAAAGGGAACAGAAAGGTCCATATTTTCATTATCCCCAGTCCCTTCAAAATTGCTGAGGACAGGTTTGACTATAAAGGCAAGCTTTTGGTGACCTTGTAAACTTAGGGTACTGTTTCTGTGGCGTTTCCTCACACATATACACTTTAATTAACTTTGGTGCCTGCTCTCTTGTGAAATATGAGTCTTACTCCACTGTACATCATGTGTAATAATGAGTACGGTAGCATATTTGTATTCTACCTTTGAACTACATGACTCACAACCAGTCTCCTGTAATGTGTGGTGCGAAAAGTGATACAATAGCCAAATTAACAAAACTATTACTGTCAAAGTCGAGTTTGAAAGAAAAATACTCTTTACTTCACTTGTTTATACCCAGTACATATATGACTGGTTCCTTGAATTATCATTAATAAAATGAAAGTGATGTCAAAGTCAAAGTGAATTGATAAAATTAATGTTTTATTATTAAAAATATTTGGAGAGATGGGACTCTGGTACATTCTGGCTTTGTAAAAAGAAAGCAGGAATGATTGAAGTGAAAACATGTCAACAACTTATTTTATTAGTCATGCAATTAAGTGACTATAATTCTCCAGGTCCTATATGTAGTAAAGTATCAGACAAATCATGATAATCACTTACAGTACTTTAGAACAATTCTTAAAGAAACAACAGAACTATGTTTCTCTCTCATCACAGCTGAAGATGTTGTTGACCTGTCACTGATTCTAACCATGACGGTATTTAATACCAGATTCTCATCACAAACACTTTACTAAATCTTATAGAGCAATATTTTCCTATAGTTTTTACAAAAACTTACATAGTTACCCTTTGTATACAAATCTTGAACACATAAACATAAATATCTAAGTACTAGTAGCAATAAGCTAAAAAAACATAAAAACTTTAAACACTCGGTCTGCTTATTTATCAATGTGGCAGTTAATTCTACATTCCTTTTTAGTCAACTTCCTTGGCTATGTGCTGGTAAATCACCCAACTATTAGATTTGACATTCACAACCAATTTTGAAGTATTTTATAACATTAGAAACTGTTAAAAAAATTAAAATCTATCAAATGCCATAAAGTTAGACATTCAATGTACATGTACATATTGTAAAAAAATTGGGAATGCAATTTTTAAAAAATGAACAACAAAACTGTGCATAATCTGAAAAAGAAATAGGTACTGGTATACATCAACTATGCAGCAATAATTCTTAAGATTTTGGCAAAGTTATCAGAAAAATGCAGCCGTGTGTTTGATGGCCAGTCCATAATTTTGTGTTAGAAGTGAAGTGCTCCATGATCCTTAGAAATGTTATCATACCATCACACATTTTAGAACAGACGGATGTCCATGCTGCTGTCCTGAAAGACAAAATTTCAGGAAACTTTGAAGGAACTTAAAGACTATATTATTTAGAAATATATACGTATATTGGTGAAGATTTACTAAAAGTATCCTGGACAAAATATGACATTCAAGATCATATATGATAATTATAAAACACCTGAAATTTTTTCATACTGTTAGCTTATGGTCAGCCTGGCTATAGGCCTTCTTCAGACTGATGTCAGTATTAGTACATATTGTTACTCACTGACTGCATGTTTGAAAAGTATCATACATATGATCCAACTACCAAGCTAATAAACATTTTGCTCATGATGGTCAAAAGTTTACCTTGTCTTTCTCATCTGCCTCTTTTGCTTTCTGGCAGCTTGCAGGCAAGGAAAAGACACTGGGGTCCTTGATTCCTGCTGAAACATTTGACGTTCCTTGCACCGACATCATGTCAACTGAAAGTTTATCAGAGAAAAAGCTATATAACTAGCACAGATGATATTGGAGCTTAGAAAAAAAAAAAGAAAATGAAAGCATTGAAGGTGCATAGCTACTATGAAAGGGGGGGGGGCATGTTTCCGCAATAATGAAAAAAAGAATAATTGTGGGAGATTTCCATATGAATTTGAAAGATTTTCTTCTCGGAAGGTAGGCCTGAAGTGGGTGGCATAAATAACATTGCATGTAAGGGTCTGTCCAGGCCACAGGAAAGTTAACAGTTTTGTCACATCATTAACTTAAATGTTTACTTTCTTGTGGATTGACTTGCACTCTGAACAGTATATTTATATCTAACACAAATATACAGTAGAAACATAGGCACAAATCCTTATTAACAAGACTTTTGTGTTAATTAATCACAGANAGTTAGGTCCAAGCTCTAAGTAACCACTTTAAAAATAACTGGCCCTACCCGTCCCATAAGACGTAACCATGCCTCCAGGCACGGGCTAATCTGTTGCCATGTCAACTTTACACCAGCAGGCAAGATTCTCTGCCTGTTTCACACAGGTGTATCCTCCCACCAAAGAAATAATAATAATAATTATACTAATTACCTTTGCTGATTTGATTAAATATGGAAGACTTAGGAACAATGGATCTACTGGAGTTGATATTAGAAGACTGCTATCTGAAAAAGATAAAAAAGAACATATAGGAATAACTGTATGTGTTTCTAAGAAAATCTTATAAACAAATACACTTGTCGTCAGGATCACACAGGTTATTGGAAACACTGTGTAACACATCAAAGACACCACATTGTACTGTTTTGGTCTAAAAGCATCCAAATTAAAAGAAATACACTGTGTAATACAAATTATTCTTAAAAATATTGAAAAAATTATCCATACCATAACTATAAAATTTGAAGCCATTATTATTTCAAAGTGTTCAAGTGCTACAGAGTCTTGCTGTTTAATTACCATTAAATTTAATTTCAGGAAATTAAATTAAAATAAAAGTAGCTGTCAAATTTCTTGAAATAAAAAAAAATAAAAAAAAAGAAAAAAAAGAAAAGAAAAAAACATTACTATATGCGTAAAACAATCATTCAGAAATAATTCAAATGAATACTTTGTTCTACCTTTTTGAATAGTTTGTTCTATAATCCATGATCCAAATTCTCTCTTATGCTGTAGCACTTCAAACACCTGTCTGTTGTCAGAGCTGAAGAGAAATATGGCTCCCTCCTCTGAAACACGGATGTTACGTCATATATTTCATGTAATTAGCTCTAATACTGTACTTGTATAAATGGTAAAATTTTTGGTTTGCAGGTTCAATGAAGCTGTTCACCAGCAACCACATGAAAATGACAGAGAGAAAAAAATGCCCCACACACAAAAAAAAGAAAAAAATAGAAATATGACAAATAAATTAATCATTTTATCAAAATTTAAACTTGTGTACATTGTCAAATTATTATTATTTTTTTTTTGCCTGTATAATTATTACTACATTAAATCCATTTCCACAGTGATTTTTTTATTATTTTACAAAAAATTACCTGTTTTTGGGTGTCTTAGTTTGCAGAAGGAAACATTAGGAGCTTCTGATGTTTCACAACTGAATATTGCTTCTGTAATAATAATAATAATTATCATTATTATATATAATAGCTGTGGGATAGTACTAGTATACATTTATATAAATGTATATATGTACAGGTAAGTATATATATGTAAATATATTCTTGCTAACATTTTAGGCTAGGACAGTGGTACAAACTGTATACAGCTTTACCAGACCATCATAACATTACAATGTAACAGCGGACAGAGGATGCATAGGGCTGGGGATGCCAGTGGGGTTGGGGGTGACTGTATTATGCGGTATGGCCATAAACAAAGGTAAAAACTGTAAAGTTTTCTAAAGCATGAATGCAGAGTATGTTCTAGTGCGCTGCACTACGGATTCGGTCGTTATTGGTGGTGGTGATAGTGGTGGTGGTGGTGTGTGCGTGTGTATGTAAGGAGGGGGTGGGGGACTCCGGCCGTGCAAGTGGCTGGCGGTGTACTGGTGTCGGGACATGTAATATTGAAATACCGGTAGTTTCTGTATTCGTCTTTGATTTACCTGGAGCAATCAAAACCCACTGATTCTGTTCACCATCTGTTGCATTCCCTCGATCCCTTTCTTGTTTCGGCATCGCGGCGAGGAGCTATGATCACAGTATTCTTGACGAAGTCGAGATATCGCTGCCTCTGCACTGTTTACAAGGGCCTGGCAATCACCTTCACCTTGTTCGACGGCGGGAAATTTTGGACCATTTTGTACGGAATTATTTCGTTTGTATGATCTTATTTACGTCAACCGTTTCTGTTTTTGAATAGTCTTGACACAGCTTTTCAAAATCAAATTCTTTTAAAGTGCTTAATATCTATTACTAATAATTTCGAGTTTATTTTCATCCGGGGCATTTAAAGATGGCAGCGTTCAGTTGGTGGCACGCTATTTCTCACTGCGTGTAATCCCAGTCAACAGTTTTGGCTGGATAGTCATGATCTAGGATCTACGCTTAAGGTATGGATGCCTAAGCTTAGTTTTGTAACACTGATTTAATTGTGGTATATATAAGGCCTATTTTGTGAAAGGTCACTTGAAACTGCACGGTCGCTCCGAGTGTCTCTCACTGCCTCAGGACACTGGACACTCGCCGCTCGATCTACTCATTGTCCTCTGTCAGCATGTCTCTGCTGTAGATCTACCCATTATAGAAGAGAAGAAAGTTCTTACAGTGTCCTCTGAGACTCGTTCTAATGGGATTTATAGAACAAAATATACAGTATGTAATATAGCTCTTGTGGGCGTGGCTTTAAAATTATATTTAAGATCAAATAATGAAGAAATATTTTTTCCAAAGGAAAAAAAAATCATTATTTTGAGAAAATTCCATGTTATTTGTTTCCTGGACATAAATTTTCAAAAAAAAAAAAAAAAAAAAAATCAAAAGTTGTATTTTATTAAAAAGAAGAGACTTCAGGGATTACCCAGCACACAAACGTTTCCGAATAACATTTTAAAAACTTTTTTTAAAACATTTCGGTTAAGTTTTTTAAATTATGATTATGTTTTGAGAAATCATTAAAGGAAAACATCATTAAAACGTTTTCTTAATTCCTTTTTTCTCTATTTCAATTTAAGTAGAGGGTTAAAATATTTAGAATTATATTGTAATGTTAAATGTATAATCACTGGTTCTAGACAGACAACACAAGACATGCAAAAATATACGTGTTGACTCTTCGCTCACTTTTTTAGCAACTCCCCCTGTGCATGCATACAAATCCATCAGATTACTCATTGCATTGTAATGTAAAAAACTACATATAGCAATATAAAATAGTCTATTATTAGAACACAAAATATATTAACAAAATGTTTATTAAATGCTATGCAAATGCTTAAATCTTGAGGAAATGGAGAGGTAATGTTTTATGTTATTAATAGGCAGTATTGAATTTGGTAGTTTACACAATGTCTAACGTATCTAGGCTAGACATAGATATTACTTTCACTGCTGTTTAAAATGTCTAGACATGCACTAGTTTAACATATTACACATTTAAGTAAAAAAAAATCTGAAGTTAGAGAGAGAAACCCTTTTTGCCATTAAAATTCTGCTATGAATCTTATCTTAATGAAGGTTTTATGCCATTTCTCAAGTTGCTGCTGGGTCAACAAGGGGACTGAAAGGTCCATATTTTCATTATCCCCAGTCCCTTCCAAATTGCTGAGGACAGATCTGACTATAAAGGCTAGCTTTTGGTGACCTAAGTTGTAAACTACGGGTACTGTTTCTGTGGCGTTTCCTCACACATATACACTTTAATTAACTTTGGTGCCTGCTCTCTTGTGAAATCTGAGTCTTACTCCACTGTACATCATGTGTAATAATGAGTACGGTAGCATATTTGTATTCTACCTTTGAACTACATGACTCACAACAAGTCTCCTGTAATGTGTGGTGCGAAAAGTGATACAATAGCCAAATTAACAAAACTATTACTGTCAAAGTCAATTTTGAAAGAAAAATACTCTTTACTTCACTTGTTTATACCCAGTACATATATGACTGGTTCCTTGAATTATCATTAATAAAATGAAAGTGATGTCCAAGTCAAAGTGAATTGATAAAATTAAAGTTTTATTATTAAAAATATTTGGAGAGATGGGACTCTGGTACATTCTGGCTTTGTAAAAAGAAAGCAGGAATGATTGAAGTGGAAACATGTCAACAACCTATTTCATTAGTCATGCAATTAAGTGACTATAATTCTCCAGGTCCTAGGTGTAGTAAAGTATTAGACTTATCATGATAATCACTTACAGTACTTTAGAACAATTCTTAAAGAAACAACAGAACTTTGTTTCTCTCTCATCACAGCTGAAGATGTTGTTGACCTGTCACTGAATCTAACCATGACGGTATTTAATACCAGATTCTCATCACAAACACTTTACTAAATCTTATAGAGCAATATTTTCCTATAGTTTTTACAAAAACTTACATAGTTACCCTTTGTATACAAATCTTGAATATACATCAACATAAATATCTAAGTACTAGTAGCAATAAGCTAAAAAAACATAAAAACTTAAAACACTCGGTCTGTTTATTTATCAATGTGGCAGTTAATTCTACATTCCTTTTTAGTCAACTTCCTTGTCTATGTGCTGGTAAATCACCCAACTATTAGATTTGACATTCACAACCAATTTTGAAGTATTTTATAACATTAGAAACTGTTAAAAAAAATTAAAATCTATCAAATGCCATAAAGTTAGACATTCAATGTACATGTACATATTGTAAAAAAATTGGGAATGCAATTTTTAAAAAATGAACAACAAAACTGTGCATAATCTGAAAAAGAAATAGGTACTGGTATACATCAACTATGCAGCAATAATTCTTAAGATTTTGGCAAAGTTATCAGAAAAATGCAGCCGTGTGTTTGATGGCCAGTCCTCGGATAATTCTGTGTTAGAAGTGAAGTGCTCCATGATCCTTAGAAATGTTAACATACCATCACACATTTTAGAACAGACGGATGTCCATGCTGCTGTCCTGAAAGACAAAATTGCAGGAAACTTTGAAGGAACTTAAAGACTATATTATTTAGAAATATATATGTACATTGGTGAAGATTTACTAATAGTATCCTGGACAAAATATGACATTCAAGATCATATATGATAATTATAAAACACCTGAAATTTTGTTACTCACTGACTGCATGTTTGAAAAGTATCATACATATGATCCAACTACCAAGCTAATGAACATTTTTGCTCATGATGTTCAAGAGTTTACCTTGTCCTTTTCATCTGCCTCCTTTGCTTCCTGGCAGCTTGCAGGTAAGGAAAAGACACTGGGGTCCTTGATTCCTGCTGAAACATTTGACGTTCCTTGCACCGACATCATGTCAACTGAAAGTTTATTGGAGAAAAAGCTATATAACTAGCACAGATGAAATTGGAGCTTATAAAAAAAAAGAAAATGAAAGCATTGAAGGTGCATAGCTACTATGAAGAGGGGGGGGGGGGGGCATGTTTCCGTAATAATGAAAAAAAGAATAATTGTGTGAGATTTCCATATGAATTTGAAAGATTTTCTTCTCGGAAGGTAGGCCTGAAGTGGGTGGCATAAATAACATTGCATGTAAGGGTCTGTCCAGGCCACAGGAAAGTTAACAGTTTTGTCACATTATTAACAGCTGCGTTTATTTTATTTCATAACTGGTTTACATCACTTTTTAATTACTATTGGTTTTTCCCTCTATTAAAGGGTTCTGTAGTGCAAAATAATGGAGCAATTTAAAAATAATTATGCAAAGAGTACGCAAAATGTTACTGTCACTATGACTTAGGGCGCATTCCCATAGATTTTAGATCGTTCTATCCCTGTGAGGAGTCTCACAAGATTACTGTCAGATAATCCGACGTAAATGTCTGTCCCGCCTTCTACAAGCTGTAAGGGGGTAATTAACTTTCGTGCCCACTCGGCTGACAGCTATTTAGCATGAACCCCCATGGAGTTAGGTCGATCTAGTTCGATCGATCTAATCTCTGGGAATGGGGTCTTAAATGTTTACTTTGGCACAAATCCTTATTAACAAGACTTTTGTGTTAATTAATCACAAATATGTTAAAAAGGGACAAACAAGGAAAATATGGGGTCAGGTGATTTTGAGCATGGATCAACCAAC